CTTTTTATTGAAATTACCTATAATCATTGATTTCCATAACAGCATCAATAATTTATTCATTTTAGAATTGAGCAGTTCGAAAAATGGATTGAAAAAATGCAGTCGGTGTGATTTGAACGCACGCTCATTGGTTAACAGGCCTACAATTCAACCACTGCTTTACGGGTGTTGGTCGAACGTTCACCTGAATCAGTGGACTCATATTCATCCATCACATCGCGAGGATAGTCTTCTCAGTAGGACGATACTCGTCATCTTATTTCAGTCAGATTTATGGGCCTATGGCCCCTTATCCTTTCGACTGTTTGAGTTTCTTTTGGGTTCCTGTGGCGTGGCGGCAGGGGGTTGCATGGTCCTCTGTCGGTTTCTTTTGACTTTTGGCCCTGTGTATGGAAGTGCAGCGTACTTCTTTGTCTTTGCGGCCGTTTAGGCACTATTTCTTGTTTTATTTTCCGGCAAGCATGGATTGCAGTACCGGAAACTTCACTAGAGCGCCTGCAGCTGCCCTAAGGCCGTTGGGAGACTTCCGGAAGAGCTGCAGGCGTTCTCTGACGATGAGATGGCCTTCGCGTACGAGACATCACTCCTGATTTGTGTTTCTTCCGACAGGCCTTGGGTTTGTGGTCTGTCTGTTTTTGTTGGGCCTATCTGAGGCCCTTTTATTTTCAGGGCGTTCTGGGTACCCACTGAAGCTCGCTGGGTGTTCTTCCTTGCAGTTAAAGCATCGCAAGGAGGAGTTTCTAGGTCTTTTGTATTCCTTGGTCATGTGCCGTCCGGAACATCTGACGCAGGCTGGAACTGCTTTACAGTTGCGTTGCGTGTGACCAAACTTTTGGCATCTCTAACATTGCCCTGCTTGGTTTCTCGGCTTCTGTGTTTCGGCGCTTACACGCACGTTTTGAATTTCGGTGATCTCATATATATTTTGTTTTGGCTCCTTGGGACCAAAACAAGCACGAACGGTATCGGTTCCTTGTTAACTTTACTCATGCGGGCTATGGAAAGGATCTCAAATCTTTTGCCTTGGAGTTCGGTCTTGATGTCGTCACATTCTATGGACTCCGGGACTCTGCGAAGAACTACTCTGAGTGGTTTTTCGCTTTTCATTGTATAGGTGTGGTAGGGTATTTCCTCTTGATCGAGGATCCGAGTAATCCTCCTATAATCATCTATATTTTTAAGATGGACTTTAATTCCATCTGTTGTGTTCACCGCCCGCAATATGGAGATTTCTGCGCAGCAGCAATCGTGTTAAAAGCTTTCCACTTTTCTTTCGCGCGGATGGTTATAGGTGGAGGCTTATCAGCTTTTTTGTGAGTTTCTGCCCGGTCATTTTTCGGGGTATCTGTTACTAGTTCTTCGTCACCTACTTCCATTGAGTCAGGTGGCGGGACTTCTGTTTCCTCTGTATTTGCCGACTCAATTTTCTGAGTGGGCTTTTGAATTTGATCTTCCAGTGCCACGCCCTGCTTTTGTGATAAGGCGAGTGTGGTTTTATTTGATTTTAGCCTATTGGTCCATTTAGTCTGGGAAAAACCGGGTTTTAATTGTTTGATTTGTTGAGCCGTTTCTGGCTCTTTTTTCCTCTTTTTTGGGACCTTTGCCGCTTGGCTTTCTTCGCCCGACATAATATCGTTGCTGTCCAGATCGCTGATGTCAGAGTCGGAGTCGATAAGACGATGAATTAGAGGTTTTTTTGTTTCTCAAATTCAAGTCCATTCTCTTCGCAAAGAATTTATATGCTTTCACTAATTTGGTACTACTTATTTCATAGTATTCTATAATAGTTGATATTATAACCAGACTTGCTTCTTTTGGCTTTTTACGAACTTCCGTAAAATTGAAAATCGTTTCTATAACTTTCTATAACACTTTGAAATTAGCACAACGAAAATTAGTCAATTTGTCAAGTTGACAGCTGTCTGACATATTCAGTAGGACGATTATCGCGACTGAATGAATGACAACTGATTTGACAGATATAGCTTCAACAAGATGCCCGTTATTGATCGTCTAAGTTGAGAACTCCGTATTGCAAAACTTTATAGACAGCAAAAACTTGTCAAATATTTCCATTTGATTTCAGGAACGTACATTAATTAATGATTACATTGCAGAAGCAGTGCCAAGTAGCAGTATTACCCTTAGGAACCGGAAACGACTTAGCCAGAGTATTAGGATGGGGTTCTTCCTGCGACGACGACACCCACCTGCCCCAATTATTAGAGAAGTATGAAAAAGCAAGTACAAAAATGTTGGACAGGTGGAGCATAATGGCGTTCGAACGGACGATAGCGATGCCTAAATTATCCCTCACCCCCGGCCTGCCGGAAGGTCAATTACACACCCAAATTAGCCAGTACGAAGACTCTCTAATTACGCACTTACAAAACATTCTCCAATCTGACGAAACTTCCGTTATTCTGAATTCAGCGAAGCGATTATGCGAAACTGTGAAGGATTTTGCCACGCAGCTGGTGAAAAGTTCACTGACGCAAGGTAAATGGTTCGTTTGTTTTACGAGGTGCTTTCAAAGAGTTTATTCTAGTTATCGGGGTTTCGTCATAAAGTCCCTGCATCGAGTACATACACTCTCAGATGGTGAAGGAGTTTGTTTTATAACAATTTATAGCGTCGAGTCAGGTTCAACGATCTGGTTCGCAGGGTAGCAAATGGAAATGATGCCAGCATGTTATTCACTTCCATTTTTCAGTCAATTAATTATATTGAAAATTTTTTCGAGAGAAACCATGTATCATTATTTCGTAGAGTTCACGAATGTGTTTGTTTTTCGAAGCTTCGTCAAACTAAAATATCATCAAGCACGGACATTTACTTACCGAATTGGGTGTATTATTTTCATGAGTGGGACAAAACAAATGGTATTGATCTTTTCAATTCGTGAAGGGGGGCCTAGACCATTCCTGAACATTTTGAAATTCGAGTTAGTAGTGAAAGATACCGTACAGGAGCACAGTGTGTGAAAAATACGAGTTTTGGATAATTTTTCATTGATATTACCCACGACTGATATTATTCACGATTGATAGTACCCACCCTAAATCGAAGGTTTCATATGAAACATGTGTTCATATGAAAGCGAGGGAGAGAGACCGCGTTATGTCGATGGATATAGGCCGAGACCGCATATGCTGAACATGCTGATAGCAAGTGCATTAGGGTATCGGGTGCCTCGCGGCAGGCCCTGCACCTTGTGTCAGGAACCTCTATACCCATCACGCGCCTGCGGTAGACTAAGGTGTTGGAGACACCATCCTGGCAAACCATGATGAACCCCTCAGTTTCCGACTTCAGCCCACTCGACCTGAGGAAAGCGAAGGTCAGGCGCTTTGATAAGCCAAGGTCTCCAATGTTATTGAAGAAGACCCCATGCATTGGCTTATCCTTGTGTTTCCGCAGAAGTAAGGTGATCTCTGCGGCTTTTATCTGAGCTTTTTGCTGAACAGGTTCCAACTCGATGACAGAGTTGTGGTCACCTCGTTCAGTGTCGAAAACTATACTAAGTTCATCAGCTGCTCGGGCAGCTTCCCTGAAGAGAAATGCTCCAATTCCTGCTCTCCCATGGTCACGGACCAAGCAGAGAAGGGAATCCGAACTCCTGACGACTTTACAGGCTGTATCCAGCACCATTCTGTCATGTAGACACTCCAAACTCAAAAGGCCACGGTCTTCCTGTGTCGGGGGAAGTACAACCGTGGACGGTTATTATTATTATTATTATTATTTAACCAAACAATTAAGTGATTTTTGAATATTTTATAGATTTTCTTCGAATATCGGCCGATTCCATCAAATATAAAAGAACTTTTCAAATTGCACTTCCTATTTTTTTTCTTTCTTCCTATTTTTTCATTCGCTGATAAATGTTAATTTTGAAGGTGACGATCAGCTAGCCAAAAAGTGTGATATTTTGCAACAGAAACTGGAACTTTTACTGAAAACGCTTACTAGTGAACAAATAGATGCACAAAACATTCACGCTGACGAAGAAAGTAACGTTTCTAGTCGACCAACAGAAGATACAGACAGCGAAATGTCCTACGACAAAATGAAAACGGAAAAGGTCGAAAAAGATCTCAGCAACTTCAATTTTAGGAAACACAGGCGTACTTCTAGGTGAGTTGGTCTATTTTCCAATTGAAAATTTGTTGTTTCATTCATTCTGTTAGAAAAAATTACAAACATTCGAATTTGGAATTCAATCAAATAAATACCATCCATGACCATAATACAAGACAAGCAAAAAAACTACTAGTTAAATCATATCTAAAAATTATTATTATTATTAGTTCCCCGAGCCACGACTGTTCGGAGAATCATCCCAGCTTCAACTAGAGGTCGAGCTTGAGATCGAACTCACGACCTTCCGATCGTGAGTCGAGCGCGCTACTATTGCACCAATTCACCACTTCAAATCTAGTTATTATTGAAGTTATTTCGGCTATTTCAGGTTCATGGAAAGGGAAAAAGACGCCCTCCTCAACCGAGCGAACAGCCTGAAACGGGCCATACGAAACCTAGTCGAGCACACCGAGCAACTAGTCGAAGAACAAAACAGACAATCATCCTCAGCAATACCCACCGTAAAAATATCTTTGAGTACAGATTTAGATAAGATCGACCCGATCAAGATGGACTCTCTGAAAGTGATGCCGACGATTGAGGCGGGGGGGAGCGTCGACACGAGTTCGTGCCCCTCTCCGACCAGTTCCATCCTGACGTCGAGGTTAGCGAACATTTCTCCTCTGCCGGACGTAAGGAGAGATTCCACAATCGAAGGAGACGATCTATTACCGCTCCCCGTACCCGCCGATTTTGCTGATAGTCGGAGGGCGAGTCAAAATCAGCAGCAAATGAGGTGAGGATGAGAAATTTTGTTATATTAACTCAATTGAGTATATCCGGCTCGAAGGACCAAAGTCGCAAATTTGATATTCCGGCATCAATTTGAAGATACGTCTGTACGCTTTTGTGCAGTCACTCACGAATTTCTGTTAGATTTCTCTCTTGAATCACAATAATTTCTTCACTATCATCATAAAATTTTCACTGAAACATTGCTCTTCAAAATGTATACTCCTAGATCTCTCCCTCTTGAGATTTTGAGAAAATATGTACTCTACAGAAAAGTATTCATGGAATTCGTGTTCATCTGTTGAGAGATCGACGTTTCGTTATAATCTCAAATGGCATTATCAAGATGAGTTACTGCTCCTGCTCCATGATGGGTAACTGACGTTTGCTGATTCTTTAGATATTTTTTTATATTGTCGCTTGCGTAAATTGTAATGAGCGTTTTTCCGAATTGAAAACTCCTATTTTTGTATGGCTTGGATGTTAATGACTTCCGATTCTGCAATTTCTTCTGTTGGAGCATTATTCAATATTGGTTGCTGTTGGTCATTATTCACGATTCCTGTTTTTCCCTAGTATAAACACTGTATATTTCTTGTAAAATGACTTTTTATTGAAGAAAATCATTATAATATTGACTGAGACATCTCTTTTGGTTATTAACTATAATTTCCCGAATCCTCTGATTTTGTCAGAATTGACAAATCATGAAATCTTTATGCTCCTGGGCTCTGACAAATATTTTTTTATCAGTTTGACCAATATATTGTTATTCATAGCCACCGCATGCAATGCTATGGACCACTGATTTTCAAAATTGACGGTAACACCTCAAATGAAAGGCAATACTATTGTTCTTCAATCTTGAAGTAGATCTGTCATTCTGATCAGATATTGTGTTGACCTAGAAAATCTGTTTCCAAGCCTTATAATTATTGAATCCCGTTCTTTGCAGTGCGGAAGCTTCGATAGAGAAAGTTCTCCAAGAGACCGCATCAACCCTGAGAAAGATAGGAATCCAAAAAACGCCAATCGAAGAAGAAAGCGAAACCGACAAAGACCAACGTCATCATCGACGAGAAAGTACTAAAGACGACGTCGCAGAAGACGAAAAAGACTGTAGTAGCATCTTATCGGCAATATCGAACGAGGAAGTGAGCATAACTTCCGAAATAATGGACCAAAAATCGTTCGCGCCTCGCAAAGACAGCAACGGTGAGGACATGAACGGTCACATATGTCACATTGACTCCCCAGAAACAGACACTTACCCCAGTTCGGACGTCATCCACGGTGAGTCTTTAATGGACGATATTAGTTCCATGTTAGGTGAGGTGTACGGATACGGGCTGGATAGCGTTGAAAATACCTACACTGACGACACGACGTTGTTTCCGAGCGATATAGGTAAGGAAGAATCACCTGCGTGCCCCTTTGCAGAGGCTTTCCGCTTGGGCTCATTGCGGTTCTGGATTATTCTTTCGTTACGAGTGTTGCCACAGCAGTCCAAGCAAGAGCCTCTGAATAGGGCAGACCTTGTACCTTTACCGCTCCCCAATAACGCCATGCCCTGAGTGACGGATATGATGTAGTTGCTTGTATCGTGGATGGAATTGTTGATCTCGAAATAGTCGTTTCAACGTAGTTGACAATGTTTCTTTGTTGAAAGTTACACTGCTCGCATACAGGTCGAAACATTTTCGTCATAAACGTTGCGCCACGTTTCACTGACGACACGACATCTTTTTCAAGCGATATAGGTGATGAAGAATCACATTCATGTCCCTTTGCAGAGGCTTCCTGCTTGGGTTCATTCTGGCTACAAGTTATTCTTTTGTCACGAGTGTTGCCACAGCAGTCCAGACAGAAACCTCTGAATAGGACAGACCTTGTACCTTTACCGCTCCCCAATAATGTCATGCCCTGAGTGACGGATATGATGTAGTTGCATCAGTCGTGGACTGTTAGTCTCCTTGAAGCGTTTGTTTCAACGTAGTTGACAATGTTTCTTTGTTGAAATTTGAGCTGCACCTCCACTCAGTGGAGGTGCAGTAGACTAAGTCTACTTTTGAAACGGACATGATGAAAATATGTATGAAAATATAAACAATTTCCAACAGCAAAATACACTCACCGTCTTCCTTCTATTACGAACAGAATAACACTCTACCAATTGCTTACTGCTGCAGATATATTCGTCTACTGATTTCATAGTGTGCCAGGCATTTCTTTTATGTTGAACAGCGCGAGTCACCACCACCATGAAACCGTGAAAGGTTCACATTGCTTGTTGCTACCCACTAGAGATGCCTGACGTCACAGCCAAACCCACCTCCCAACTGGATGCGATAACAGATGCCGATACGAACAGGCAGTGGTCGTTGTGCTCTCGGAGAGGGCAGACGTTAGCACAGTCTTCGGCCAACTGCGTGTCACCATCGATAGCGAGGCTAGAGCGATGCGTTACGTCACAGCCTTCTCCAGTTCGAGAGAGGTGAGGGCACACCGATGAATACGCATTACACAGCCACACGTAGTGGAGTGAACATCTTGCTCTCTTACCGTTGAACGGTTGCTGCTGCTGTGACGTCACACCATTACTAACTTGGTGGCCTCTCACAGATGGAGCATTCATTACTTGGAGGATCTTCGAAGTATGCAGACGTATGTTTGTACATAGACAAGCACATCATGAAACCCTGTACCGTGCATTCTCTCTCACACACACACACACAAAATCTCATATGAAAAAAAAAATCTGAACGATCCATGAACCAGACACTTCAAGGTCACATCGCCTTGACTTCACTAAACAACAACAAAAAAAGGAATTAATACGTCATAGTGGTGGGGGGAGGCTTAGAACCGGCTCATATCTCCTACTACCTACTGCGAAGGGACACCTTCATGTCCCTTCGCAGAGGCTTCCTGCTTGGGCTCATACTGGCTCCAAGTTATTCTTTCGTTGCGAGTGTTGCCACAGCATTCCAAGCAGGAGCCTCTAAATGGGATGGACCTTGCACCTCTACCACTCCTCAATAATGACATGCCCTGAGTGACTGTAGTTGTAAGGTAGCTGTTTATGTCGTGGAAGGATATGATCTCTAATATTCGGTTAGATTTAGATGAGCGTTAAAATGTGGACTTCTGTCATCAGACCCCTGCAATGCTTTTGATACTATTGATCGTGAAATTCTGTGATGGCAAATGATGTGTGTCTTTACAAAACAGAAGAAGTTCAATAAAAAATATTATTTATTGAGTCTCGCAGGAATTTCAACTAGTTGAACAATGAATACAGACAAACATATTTCCTTCCAAACAGTTATTTCTGGAATTCACAATTTTTGAGTCGTTTGTAGTAAATAATACAACTTTAATTACAATTAATTATAATCTTTAATTATATTTGCATAGTTGTATTTTTTCATCTTTTTTCACCATTTTCAATTCAGTAATGTAGTATTGGCAATGACACGAATCCAGAAATAATTATGAATGAAGAGTACTGCAAGACTATCTTCCTACTTCCAAAATTAAGTTGACAGCTCCCTTCATCTTGCTTCAGTTCCAACACATCGGTTTCTGAAAGTTCATCACAGTTCCATCCATTCTCTGCCGTTATGAATCTCACTTTCACTCATCCCCATATAAACTTTGAATTAAATGAAGTTCATTAATAAGCCTTTCTATGTAGAAAGAAAACTGAGTTTGAAGAGAGACTCACTGGAACGGAGAAGGCGCAGTTCAAGGTCTAAAGTGGATGCTGTCCAAGCGGAGGATGAGACTCAATTTGGTTTCGAAAATCGTGCCTTTATTCCCCAACAAATATTTTTAGATAACAAAATCGACAAGGACCATAAGATCGATAAGGAGCCTCGGTACTGCAGCTTGGCCAAGTTTGTCGAAGGTACGTTGGTCTTTACTCAAAATAAATGCACCTTAAATTCCCCCAAATGAGGGCTGAAGTGCTAGAAAGTGAGAAGCAAAACCAGATTTATTTTTAAAAGAATCGCCCTCAGAAAAAAGTAGTACAGTAAAAATTGCTTCAATTGATAAAAAAGATCACCTTCATTCACATCAATATCAGAATTTACGTTATAATGATTATTTTAAAGAAGTATCTGATTGTGGGATGGTGGAAGAACTGGGCGTCAAGTGCCATGCGATTTTTGATGGTTCGAAACGTAATGGAAAGGTGATGAAGCTCAAAAAATGGGTGCCCCACGATTTGAACGATCGACAGATATTGTCAGGTTTCGAGGTATGTTCTTCGCTTTTGCGCAACCAAAATGATTCTTTTTGGATCGAATCGTCATGTGTGATGAAAAGTAGATCCTCTACAACAGAAGACATTCAGAAGAGTGGTTAGACACCAATAAGCTACCCAGGCATTTTCCGAAGATGAAAACCCACTGTATGGTGGTCGGCGGCTCTAACTTTCTGTAAACCTGGTTAAACCATTACAGCAGAGTCCTATTGCGTCAGCAGCCCGCACTAGTAACAGAAGAGTCCGATTCTGCTCCAAGACAAAGCCCATCCGCAAGTTTGACACATCACCGTACGAATATTAAACGAATTAAGCGTCGAGGTTCTGCCTCATCCACCTTACTCCCCAGACCTCTTGCCAGTCGACTACCATCTCTTCAAGCACTTCGATAACTTTCTCACCGGTAGAACCTTCGCCAATCAGGACCAGGCAATAACGGCCTACTAGAATGTAGAACGTGTAGATTAACGTGAACTCCATTGAATTCATAACTGATTATCATACACCAAATAGACCAAATTCAAAATTGGTCTTTTTATTGAAATTACCTGAACTTGCCTGGATGAACAAGAAACATTTGAAAGGCTAACGTCTGTGGAGTAGTTGTTTTCTGATAGGCGTCAGTCCATTCAACCTACTGTGTAGGTATATCCAAGACTGGCTTGAACATTTAAAGTTCATTTCTTCAGATTTGGGTATTTACTAGAGCTAACTTCGTAGGTACGTTGAAAGAGATGAATGTTTGGAGATTTAATTTCAGAATATCGTAGATTACTTCCAAAGAAAGGAAGGAAGCAATCAATGTCAGAAAAGTAACTCTATATAAAGATGTGTAGATCATGCAAAGAAGTAATTTTCAGACACAAACTGATAAAAAAAGTATTTCTTTCCAAAAAACTAATATCTTCTAAAAATATACCCCTTTCGATTCCAGTTTTGTTTCAAAATCAAAAAGAAGTTTGATATTTTGTTGTCAAACTAGTGGAATATGAATTGATTCCCATCATGAAAGAAATCAGCGATACTTCTTTTTAAACACATATATTTCCCGAGTTACATTCGAATTTCGATAAATCTTGCCATACAGTTATATCCAGAACGAATGCAAATTACAAAATATTTTTTTCGATTTCAATAATAATTTGATGGAATTCAATGAAAAAGTAAAAATTATAGGTCTATATCTTGATCAGAATTTATCTTGTTGGTATATTTTATAAAATACGAAATGTAATTCCCTTCAAATACTCAAAAACAATTAATTTTTCTTTAATTTGTCCGAATCTTCAGTACCTAACATCAGTTTAGGCAACAGCCAATTTCTCTTTCATTTGAAACCTGTACAACGGTTACAAAATAAAATCATAAAATGTATATATAACTTGAATCAGAAATCAATATGTATGAACCTAGAAATTCATTTGTTTCAAGGGAATACACCATTTCAAAATACGCATGTTCATTCACGTTGTTGGGAATAAAAAAACATTCAACTCAATTCATGATCATGATACACGGCATATCAGAAAATATGGTTTAACAACTACAGGAAAGTAAATTTGGTCAAAAATGTATTTTTCATGTTGGAGTTGATTCATATGATAAAATACCTAACAACTTCAAAAAAATTAATTATACGAAATTTAAGGCACAACTAAAATAATATATTTTGAAACAGATTGACAATTTTGTAGTTTCACATATTTTTGTTTGTTGTATTATTCCCAGTATGATTTTTTCAATATGTATGTTACATTGCTCCTACTATTTATTTATTTACCAATATAGGGGTTACAAACAGATTAACAAATCCAATAGAGAACCCACTTTATAAGCTTAGTTCAAGTGGGCTTTGAGAAAAAAGAATGTAAATTTTAATTTTTTGTAAATTACATTGGACAATCGAAGAATAACATAATTCTTATAAGAGTGACAGAGACTACAGAAATGATCACAACTTATCAATGAAAATGTTTTTCATCCTGCGTTTGAAACAGTCTAAAGAGATTTCAAAATAGTGAACATCATTGCAAATTTCGTTAAAGGTTTTAAGCATTATATAGAGTGGTGAATTTTGAGCAGCATTTGTCCTTGTGTAAGTTAACTTAAAGAATTATGTACGCCTCAACGTTCTACCCTGAACAATGTACTCGATTCTGGAATGAAGCTCTGGGCAGTGGACTAATCCTATCATCAACTTTAAAATCATGATAAGATCAACAGTTTTTCTATCCTTCATTGGCATAATATTGTATTGGCGCATAATGGGACTGTAATGACTATTCGCAATTGGAAAATTTCCTGAGATTATTGAATTCATCATTATTATTATTTTCTGTTGAAGTCATTGAAAACCAGCCATTTGTCTCCGAATATGGAAAGAAACCAAACAATCCAAAGCATAAAAATTGTTTCTTGGCAGCCTTGTACGTGAATTTCTAGTAATAGAACCTGTTTAATGATTGTCATAAACAAATATGTTTATTTAAAGGTGGTTGACAATGTTTCGTGGTGTACTTCATTAGTTCAGACTTCCATTATCTAATAAGAAATAAAATGATTTGAAATCCCTTAAAGAACCAACAAAATAACAATTTATTTAAGTAAATGAAAACCCTGAAATGAAATTACAATAGAATAAAATACAAGCAATAATTGAAAATTGAACAATAAAAAAAATAAAAATTGAAAGATCTCAAGCCAAGTTACTTCACGACATTTCGATTGTTAGTATCCACAATCGTCTTTGGGTGATTCCTCCGAGAGATGACTATTTATATGTCTTTCGAGAGCTTTCATCTATCTCCTCTTCCCTGTTTTCTCTTCACCGGTTCAGCGGTGGCTGATCGTTTGGCGGGGGTTGGCCGTTTTTCCGCTTGATTATGGGTTTCCATATGTTGCGTATTCCTACGCTAACTTGGCTGAATGCGTTGTTGTACAACATATATGCGGCTTCTTTGAATTTCCTCCTGAACCAGTGATCCTTTCCTGTACAAAGACGAAACAGGAATGACAGGAATGATCAAATCATTTTAGATTATTTCGGAAATAGTCCTAATGCCAGTATAAGGAATGCCACTTCAGATTTGAATATTCCACGAGAAACTATTCGGAGATGTCTCAAGGCGAAGAATATTAAACCCACGGGGTGCTATTCAGTATTCAGGTAGGCAAGAAATGGAATACAACTCCAGCAGTACACTTAGAGAAGTTTTATTTATATTTCGGGAATGACAAAAAGTAAACATTTTGTAGTGTAAATGGCTTTATTGTTTTTTGAAATATCATCCTCGATGATCAATATACTTTTGCATTCGTTCAAACCATTTGTCAAAGCAATTTTTCCATTCCTCGCTTCAACTGCTTCTTCGGCGCTCGTAAATCGTTGACCACGCAGTTTACCTTTGACATTCGGGAACAAGAAGAAGTCATTAGGAGCCAAATCAGGAATGAACGGAGGATGAGTCAGTGATTTGATGTTTTAACTGCTCAAAAATTCACCTGTTTGAGGAGATGTGTGGAGCTTCCATTTGTCGACCATTTAAAGTATGTCAACTTGCTCGGTATCAAATGTCTGCCTGTTCAGAATTAATGGTGCCTGGTCGCTGAATCTGTCTGAATGGACTAACTGTTTACCTTTCGAACATTAACTCACGAAAACGTTCCCCGCTTCATTCCAGTGTAAATTTCCCCAAGTAAGTTTTTCAGTTTTTTGCTTAATATAATTGTTATTTTTTTTTAGCTAATCTTTTAATTTTATTGATTCTTTCCGGGATTTCAAATAATTTCATATCATATTACACAATGGATATCCGAACTAATGATATTCATTAAAAAAATCTCATAATTCATTCTTACGACTGAGTTTTCAATCACCCCGAGTTTCAGGCGTATCACCCGACCAAAATATTATTTATCTGGCAATCACAACAAAGTTTTTATAGGGAATCGAACCAATACACTTCCTTTCACAATATCACCCACTCAGTTTACGAAGTGATTAATTTTAGGTAATGATATAGCTAGGAAATCTTTCAAGAGGCGTTCAACGAAGGTATCAAAAACAGAAGCAAACGTCACAAGGCAAACCACTCTACTGGAAGAGGCGGAAGTATCAACGCCTACCAGCCACAGGGGCAGCAGGAGTAGTCTCAACAAACTCGAGAAAGAACTGTCCAACGTATCCGCGATCACCGTCAAGATGTCGGAGGATGATAGGGAGAAGGATGAGATAAACATTTTGTAGTGAAAATGGCTTTATTGTTTTTTGAAATATCATCCTCGATGATCAATACACTTTTGCATTCGTTCAAACCATTTGTCAAAGCAGTTTATCCATTCCTCGCTTCAACTGCTTCTTCGACGCTCGTAAATCGTTGACCACGCAGTTTACCTTTGACATTCGGGAACAAGAAGAAGTCATTAAGAGCCAAATCAAGAATGTACGGAGGATGACTCATTGATGTTTTAATTGCTCAAAAATTCACCTGTTTGAGGAGATGTGTGGAGCTTTCATTGTCGACCATTTGGTTCGCTGTGCTTCCTCCACGAACAACTTTTGTTGGATTTAGCTCGTCTTGGTCGATTGCTGTTTTGTTTCCGGCTCATATGCATATATCCATGATTCGTCACCTGTCACGATTTCATACACATCTCTTGAAGCACCGGGGTCGAATTTCTTAATAATTTCCTCACTTGACGCGAGCCTTTTTTTAAGCAATTGATAAGTTATGAGGTATCTGACGAGAACAATAATTTCACAACTAAGAGCTCATGCAAAATCGAATGTTTTGAAGTGGAACTAATGTGCAAGGATGTTTCTATTTCACAATATGTCACATGACGATCTTGCATTGTCGGTTCACGCACTGGAACGATGTTTTGTGGAACATCAACCGATTTTTACGAACTTCACAGAGATCGTCGGCGACCGAACTACGACCACGATTGAATTCACTATACCAGCAATATACTGTGGACGTTTTTGATGGTGCTTCATTGCCATACAAAGAATTGAGTTTATCGACACATTCTTGATGATATAATCCACGTCGAAAGTTGTGAAAAATAATCCAAAAAAATGTTCTTTCGAGATTTTTATTTTTTGATCGAATTGATTTTCTTAACTCACTGTTAACAAAACAAATAACACCGAAGATGTCTGTCGCAGTAGCAGACGAAACGTATGGTACCACAAGCTCCTTTTGACCACGCTCTGCCAGCCCGGATCTTGTTCTTTCTAATTGCAACTTTGGCCGTCACCGCGCATTCCACAAAAGTATGTCAACTTGCTCGGTATGAAATTTTCATGTCTGCCTGTTCAGAATTAATGGTGCCTGGTCGCTGAATCTGTCTGAATGGGCTAACTGTTTACCTTCCGAACATTAACTCACGAAAACGTTCCCCGCTTCATTCCAGTGTAAATTTCCCCAAGTAAGCGTGATAGTAGAACCTCCCTCTCCCGTTCTAACCGAGCAGATCCGGTCAGAGCGTTTAGAGCATATCCGAATAGAAATCGAAGGAGAAATAGACCACGATCTAGACCTCCTATGTTCAAAGGCGGACCGCCAATCGAATTCCGATCGTCTCTCCGGCAGCGACAAAACACCAAGCAACAACAGCTCCAGTTCGAACCTGCTGGGCATCAGCAACGAGCAGTTCCTCACCAGGTCACCGGCCGCCACGCGCAGGATCTCCTGTTGCAGCATGCTGAATCCTGCGGAGGCGGCGGCATTGGCCGCAGCGGCGGCTACCAGTAAGTTTTACAGCGACGCCAGTGAGAAGAGAGACGGGGACAAGAAGGAGGAGAACAGGAAGATGCCCATCATCAATCCGTTGGTGAGGCTGCCCACATGGCCCAGTAAGTATCCCAAGTTTTGTTTTCAGATATATTCGAGTTGATTGGGAGATGAACGATTACTGAAAAGTGCTACGTCTTCATATTATTATTGAACTTTGAACGTAGGAATAACTTCTAGCTTGTAGAGAGTAGGTGTCAATAAAGAAACTCTGTTACAAAGACAAAATATATTTAGGTTCATTCTGGTTCTGCAAAATTCAGGTTCTAGGACGTCAGGATCATACGCAGTTGATATAGAGCGTTCTGGTTTATTGAGGATAAGTTCGGATTGATGGATCCTCGGTTCTGGTTTCGACTGCAAAATTATCCTAAACTGTCTTGAACTTTCTCTCTCTTATTGACGATAACTCCGGACTATCGCATAGGACATACCTGACAGTTTCATCTTCCTGTTCACACATCCTGCATAGATGTGTGTCTATTAGCCCCATATTGTAGACGTGTTTCCTCAGTTGACAGTGGCCAGTCATAAATCCTACTGTCAAGCGTAGATTTTTCCTGGTCATCGCCAGATATTTCTTCGACGCCAGCTTTCCAGGGTCGCCAAGGATGATCCTGGCAAGATGGCATCCTTTGCTTTCATCCCATCTCTGTAGGGATTGAGCATGGGTGTGACATTTGGCTAGTTCCGCAATTGTCGAAGTCATCAGATCGTAAGTGCCACTGGGTCCTAAAATTCTTGGTCCAGCCGCTTCCTTGGCTAACGAGTCGGCAATGCGATTACCTTCACTCCTGTCGTGCCCTTCAATCCACCTCAGGATAATGTTATTATCCATCGAGACTTCGGCTGAATTTCGGTGGCACTCTAGTACTAGCCCTAAGGTAACACGTTGTTTGTTCAAGGCTAATAGGGCTTGTCTGCTGTCAGTGCAGATTGTTATGTTTTTGCGAGAAATTCCTCTCCTGGTTATTTCTTTTGTGGCGATTGAGATACCAGCCAGTTATGTTTGAACCACGCTGGTATTTTTTCCCATTTCCCACTTAATCTTCAGGCTTAGTGATCTGGAGTACACTCCATATCCTGATCCTTCTTTGGTTTTTGAGCCGTCTGTAAATATGCGTTTTGCATTTGTAATATCTGAATCTGTGTTCTGTTTGATTTTTATTTTGTAGGGTTTATTAAACACAAACCTGGGTTCAATTGCATCACTGGTTACCTGCAGCAGAGGTTGCGCAGTAAGCGCTTATAGCTATAGGTTCAGCCTCAATTGAGCCATTCCTACTTCGAAGTTTACGCCAGCCGTGCGCAATAGTAACATGGCCGTTAACGCCGTTAACCTCCTTATCGTACAGTTCTGGAGGGGTCAGACCAGAGATATTTGGCTGAATTAGAAGGTCTTCGGGATCTGTCCATGATTATACGTTTGCTTCAAACCTAAGTTGAACTCTTGTGAAATGTTGAATAGCTGATGAAGTTTGGATTATTCATTACCTTCCTGATTTGTAGGCTATCGAAAGTACCCTTGAATCTTCAACATTCCCTAGTTAATTTTTGGTACATAGTAAAGTCCACCATCATCAATGGCTTGTTTCAACTGGAATGTACTAAGATATAACAAAACGTTATGTAATGATTTTTAAGTATACTTATAATATGACATGTGCCTCTTCCCTCTCTATCTCTCCTGGTTATTTCTTTTGTGGCGATTGAGATACCAGCCAGTTATGTTTGAACCACGCTGGTATTTTTTCCCATTCCCCACTTAATCCTCAGGCTTAGTGATCTGAACTACACTCCATATCCTGATCCATCCTTGGTTTTTGAGCCGTCTATAAATATGCGTTTTGCATTTGTAACATCTGAATCTGTGTTCTGTTTGATTTTTTATTTTGTAGGGTTTATTAAACACAAACCTGGGTTCAATTGCATCACTGGTTACCTGCAGCAGAGGTTGCGCAGTAAGCGCTTAGGTTCAGCCATAGGTTCAGCCTCAATTGACCCATTCCTACTTCGAGGTTTACACCAGCCGTGCGCAATAGTAACATGGCCGTTAACGCAACCTCCTTATCGTACAGGTCTGGAGGGGTTAGACCAGAGATATTTGGCTGGATTAGAAGGTCTTCGGGATCTTTCGATGATTATACGTTTACTCCAAACCTAAGTTGAACTCTTGTGAAATGTTGAATAGCTGATGAAGTTTGGATTATTCATTACCTTCCTGATTTGTAGGCTATCGAAAGTACCTTTAAATCTTCAACATTCCCTAGTTATTTTTGGTACATGGTAAACTCCACTATCATCAATAGCTTGTTTCAACTGGAATGTACTAAGATATAACAAAACGTTATGTAATGATTTTTAAGTATACTTATAATATGACATGTGCCTCTTCCCTCTCTAGATGTGACTGCAGGAGGGGGTTTCATTAGTAAATGCCTCCTTGCTAACGCGGACACCCTGTGTGCTGCGGTGAGTCCTCTTATAGATCCTGACGAAACCCTTTCGGAAGGATTCTACGAGCGGTGCGTCATGAACAACTACTTTGGTATCGGCATTGATGCCAAAATATCGCTGGATTTCCATCATAAGAGGGAGGAACATCCGGAAAAGTGTAGGTCGAGGGCGAAAAATTATATGTGGTATGGAGTATTGGGGAGCAAGCAGTGGCTGCAGAAAACTTACAAGAACTTGGAACAGCGAGTGCAGCTAGAATGTGACGGACAGAGAATCCCACTGCCAAGTTTACAAGGAATTGTGATATTGAACATTCCCAGGTAATGACACATGAATAGTTGATCACAAAGTCTAATGATAATAAACACAATTGTTTCTATGAATATGCATAATTCAGATATTCAGGTTTCAATAACAAATTGTTGCTCAGATCTGAAAACTATGTGAGCACTCAGAAGGCAATCACGGAAATCACGAAAAGAAAAAGAGCAAAATATAACTCAATTCAGTTAATTGTCCCAAGAAACAATGAATGATTATAATTAGGGACTATAAATAACTACTAAGTATAATAAAATAATAGAAACAAGTCAAATTTAGGAGAGATTCATTTTTGGGGAAGAAAGTTCAAAAGCATCTTGGCGAAGTTTAGCTTACGCTATTCTACCACTCAACCAAGAATATTTTTATACATGAGTGTATTAATAGTGATACAGTAGCATAACTTAAAACTAGGACCTAATCTAGGTTTTAACATCATATGACAAAAGTATATAAAGGTAAATTAATTTGAAAAAAACATGATTTAAAATGCATTAGATAATCAATTCAGGTTTTGTTTAGTTTTTAGGTAAGAGGCATAAAAGTTAGGAGTGGTTTGGGTATTGACAGTGGCATACGGTGATTGTACTCTGAGTCATAAAAATGTTGACAAGTGGTACAAGCTTTTATTCATACTTATTATTATATTGCAGTTTCATGGGTGGAATAAATTTTTGGGGCGGAACGAAAGAGGGTGATTTATTTTTAGCTCCATCATTCGATGATAAAATTTTGGAAGTTGTCGCTGTGTTTGGATCTGTGCAAATGGCGGCCTCTAGACTGATTAATCTCCAACATCATCGAATCGCACAATGCCAAAGTATCCAAATCAATATTTTAGGTAAGTATTCCAAGTATAGTGTATTAATTGCAGTAATTTCACAGATACTTTTGGGGTATCGTATATCCATTTATGTTTCACCAAATCAAAAAATTAACAATCATCTTCGAACCCTTGAACAAACACAAGTCAAACCACAACAAGACCTAACATTCAATATTATACACAATACAATACACATTCCTAGAAACAATGAACCTAGAGACACACCAATTAACTGATGTAATCTAATTACAGGCAAATTTAAAGTGAGATTCAGATGAAAAGAGAGGACAAATACCTGCACAAAGACGTTCTAACCGTACAAAAAAACAAACAAGAAGATGAAACGTTCAGTTTGAGTAGAGCCAGGAAGATGATAGCATAGCCTGCTATCGAAAGCGCTCGCATATAATAAAGTTATTGAACATTCAAATCCTTTTTGTGTACAAATGTTAATATTAAAATACTGAAAATAAAAAAAACTAAATGATGCAACTAATTTTCCTTTATTTTCAGGATTTCAATATTAAATTTTACAAAAAGGATTTGAAGCTTTGTATCTTCTAATAATTATCTGCGACCGCTTTCGACAGTTGGTAGTACTGTCATCTTCTAGGCACTCCTCAAACTGAACTTGTCATCCTGTCGTCAGACATGACAGCCAAAGCTCAGAATTGTACAGTTTTCGAGATGTGAACCTTTGAATATATATTTTTTCTAATTTTTGCAGTTTTTGCTCATCAATCGAGAGCTCTCACTTCTGGTTGGGATAGAATTTGGATGTTCAGCAACCAGAATTAGTTTTACGAATAATCTCCTTCAGTTTTAATATATGCCGCCATCGATACTGCTTCACTGCTTCACACTACCTCGATAATCTGAGAATGTGGTGCTGTGACATTTTCCTCAGATAGGCTCAAAATGGAGGATAGCATCTCACAGCATCTGTATCTTTCATACCTGAGAGTACTCTCCAGATAGAATGAAGGGGTTCAGGTATTAGAAGCGAACTATTTTGCGCCGTAATATGTTTTACCTAAAAATGGGGTGTTCCATCGCGAGTGGCGGACAGTGTATATCACTTTGGCCAACCCCATTCAGGTGGTAGGTGCATTTTGAGCATTTCCATCAGTCCTGAGAGTTTCATCGTTCCATCTCGAATATTACGGAAGATACGGGGGTGTTTCCATAAGAAGTGAGACGAATTCGGATTTTTCAGAACTGAATTTTTTTCAGGAAAAAAGTGTATACGTAGTAAGTTGGTAGTTCTGATCATGAATCTGAAGATATTTTGAGACTATTTTGCTCCCTTATATGTTTTACCGTAAAAATTGGGTGTTCCATCGCGAGTGGCGGACAGTGTATATCACTTTGGCCAACCCCATTCAGGTGGTAGGTGCATTTTGAACATTTCCATCAGTCCTGGGAGTTTCATCTTTCTACCTCGAATATTACGGAAGATACGGGGGTGTTTCCATGAGAAGTAAGACACACTGTATTTAAATGATGCAACTAATTTTCCGTTATTTTTTATTTTCAGTATTTCAATATTAATATATGTTATAAAAAAGATTTGAAGCTTTATAACTCCTATTTATTATATGCAAGCGCTTTCGACAGCTGGTCCTGCTATAATCATCAAGGTTCTACTCAAACTGAACTTGTCATCCTCAAACTGAACGTGTCATCCTCAAATTGAACGTGTCATCCTCAAACTGAACGTGTCATTTACTTTAGGTGAATTTGTCTGTATTTGGGTTACGTTAGGTAATATTCTTTGTGTTGAATCTTCTCTAGGTTTACTATTTCTAGTAGTGTGTATTACACAAAACAACACAAGATTTAATTCCATATTTACATCTTCAGGAGAAGAAGGAGTTCCGATCCAAGTAGACGGCGAAGCTTGGATCCAACCACCTGGCATCATCCGCATCTTACACAAGAATCGAATGCAAATGCTTTGTAGGAATAGATCGTTAGAAAACTCCCTGAAATCCTGGGAGGAGAAACAACGACATAGCGTGTCTGGTCAAGGCGCGAAACCGAGGCCTTCGATATCCCACGACAAAGGTCGCAGTAGCCTCAGCAGGCAGAGCATGCCCGCCCACGACAAGTCATTCCTGGGCGTCAATATCGAGAAGATCAGGCAGCACTCCTTCAGCGGGGCCGTTCCCACGCAGCACCCGGAGAAGGAGAAGCACACGGTGACGTTCGTTGACAGGCCTCCGGAAACCGCCGAACCGGACGTTGCGTTCTCCGAAGAGGAGCACTATCTGCTCATCAACTTCATCGAATGCGTGACGACTCTCACGAAATGGATCAAGATTTTAGCTATAAGTTACAGTTTAGAAGTTGATTTATACACTCTCGCGACCAAGGTAGACACTTGTCTTGAGAACATTCACCCGAACGGGAAAATTCTTGAGGGACCACGACTGCGTGAGGAATTCACGAAATTGGTGACCGCCGTCAAGCAGCTTTACGAAGAGAGCTGCTGCCTGCTTCACGACCGAGGGGATAAGCTGAAGCTGCGGGAAGACCTGGAGAGCAAGCTGAGCGCCAGTCTGGCGAATACCGAGCTCGAAATGAGGAAATGCGTCATGTACGACAAATCGTCTGGAGCGTTGGTTTATTTGCAAGCGTTGCAGGGAGACCAGGTGAGTGCTTCACTTCTCAAACTCATTACATTACACTTTGGTTCACTGAAAGCTCTCTCTGAAAATGTTCATTTTGAGATGTGAATGTATTTAAAAGAAATCAAATAGCTCTTCCAGTTCAAAGGTTAATAATTCTTCTTTCTTTGGTCCACTGTTTCTGTTTCAAAGAGTCGCTTCTCAAGGCAAAAGCTTCATCGCCAATGGAAACATATGAAACACATTCACGGCTTTTTCTCATTCTACAAGGATAAGGAAGGTGAAGAGTATGGATTGTTAGTTCAGCAAGATAGATTACGAATAATGTGATGCAACTTCACTGCAACTCTCGAAGTTAAAAATTTCACCCCAAATTAGTCGAGCTCCTTGAGAAAAACGATCAGTTTGTTTGGTGAGGGATCTTTCAATTCCGACTCTGTCAAACACTGAATATCTGATTTGATTCACGACGATGTAGGTACGAAGTAAGTAGTATGCTATTTCATTATCTTCCGAACAAAGACCGGATCTTCCGACATTCCAAGTCTCACCATGGCGATTCATAAGACAGTGACCATTGAGTAGGCCTGTTAGACAACGTCAATTATCCTTGCTGAAGACTGGTAATGATTTGGTGACATTCTATGAAGTATACATAAATGTCATGGAATAGGCCAATCCTGGTATGTTTTGGCAGAAATCTGAAACTTAAGAGTCCTGTCCATTACCAGTAGATGACCTACAGGGCTTCTGTGGCACCAGAATTTTAACTAACAGAAGCAATGACGTTAGTGAGTGGGAAAGAGACGTGTGCAACGTAACCGATGCATAGAAGGATGGAAGGAGTATCGGGTAGATTCATTTAAAAGATAACAGCGTGGCTAAATTACAAAAATAATGGTATAATAATAATAATGACAAATCGGATTAAATAAAAAAACATGGCTGCCAGCGTTACATCAAAAAACATGCAACGTAATAGAAAAAAACATGGCTATCATCGTGGGTTTACAGGGTGTCTCAAAATACGTCATTTAAGAAAAAACATGGCAATTCAACGGTGCTCTATTGTTTTAACATATGATTCTTCGAAGTGTACAACGTGTGACAAAATACATTATTTTAGAAAAAACATTACAGTTTAACAGGGCTCTATCGTTTCAAAGTGCTAATCTTCAATGTATACAGGGTGTCTCAAAATACGCCATTTAATAAACATGGCAGTTTAACAGGGCTGTTTGTTTTAATGTGTGATTCTTCAATTTCTACAGGGTGTCACGAAACACGTCATTCAAGAAAAAACGGGGGTTTAACGTTTTAACGTGCGATCCCAATGAGAACCGTTTGAAAATGAGGCAATGGAGATATTCAGAGTATTTAGCAATGACATTTTAAAATACGTTACACGCGTTTTTTCATTGCTCTATCGTTTCAACGTGTAACATGTATACAAAGAGTGACAAAATTCATCATTTAAAAGACATGACGGTACTCTAACGTTTCAACGTGCAATACGCCCACTAATTTTCTAATGAGGAAGGTATACAGTGTGAGACTCATTCGTCGTTCAAAGGTGTTTTTGCTAAGCAAGTTAGCATTATCAGGAGATGACAAAGGAAAAAAAACATAGATGGGGCGCGTAACATGAAGGGTTAGGAATTCGGCACGACTAGGAGAACCTAACGTTTCAATGTGCGATCCAACATGTCCGAAGGACACTGAGCCGCATCTTTGTTAACCAACTTAGCATCATCAGGGGGAGTTAACCAGATGTAGGTAAACAATAGAAAAATGTATATAGGGTGTCGTTTGACACGTTGGCAGCCATGTTTTTTCTTTATTAGATTTTTCATTCTTTATTATTATTATAACATTATTTTTGTAATTCAGTCACGCCGTTATCTCTTAAATGAATCTACCCGATACTAATTCTATCCTTCCATGCATCGGTTACGTTGCACACGTCACTGCTTCTGTTAGTTGAAATTCTGGTGCCACAGAAGCCCTGTAGTTGATCTACTATCACCTTTCAGCTGAAAATCCAGACCAGCGATGATTCGTTGGGTTTTTCTATCAAGAATAGGTTTTTAGTAGATTATGTCCAACTTCAACAACGATCGTTAAGATACAAATGCTTCCAAAGCTAATTCGCTATCCGAGAATATTTCACCGATGTCTCCATACTTTCAGATTTTCAATAGTAGAATTTCTGACTGGCCACTGTCAACTAAGGAAACACCTGCATAATATGGAGCTAGTGGACACACCTTCATGCAGGATGTGTGAACAGGAAGATGAAACTGTCAGGCATGTCCTATGCGAGTGTCCGGAGTTATCCTCAATGAGAGAGTGTGTGTTCGACGAGTCTTGGAGGAGATCTCTTCCAGTGACCTGTCCACCTTCCTGGAAAGGACAGGATGGACGATGACCTAGGAGGATAACTCCTCGGGAGGATGTACAATGGGTTACATGTGGCCTAAGTTATGTGGGCCTACACTCACTCTCTCTACTCTACAGATAAAGAGATACAGTAGTAAGCGTTCCAGGTCAGTTTTTCATCGAGGAATAATCGCGCTGGTGGAGGCTATCCCACTTTTTTTGGGGGTTATATGCATCTGCTCCCTGTGGCACTAACCGCGAATGCCGTCCTATATTACTATCCATGATATGGTCCTTGCCAAGATGACAATATGATCTACGTAAGCTTGCATATCTCTCTTATCAGCAAACTGTCCATCAGGAGTAACCATAGTTTCAAAAAACAAGAAATCATCTAATCTTTATCCTAATGAGAACGCCGTAAAGACATGATTCAAACCGTCTTGAGTTGAATGTTCAATATCCAACCAAACATTCACACGATGTTTGCAGTTTTATCCATTGCCTCTTTTCCAATCTCATTTTCAAGAAACCAAAGAATGTTCTATACTCCATCTTGTGTTGAGTATTCGAAAGAACAAATCAATTTTGTATGTTTCAGATGGAGCACAAACGGAAGGGTCTATTCTGGCTTAAATTTCGAGGAAAAGGCTCATCATCTCAACAGTCGAGCCAAAAGAGGGAAGTTTCTTCTTGGGGTACCCAAGAAGTTGCGACATGGTTAGAGACCCTTCAACTCTCGGAGTACATCGACAGCTTCGAGAAGAACGACATAAGAGGCAGAGAACTTCTCACATTGGCCAGGCGAGATCTGAAAGAACTAGGAGTTACCAAAGTGGGTCATGTCAAAAGAATACTGCAAGCCATTAAGGATTTGACACAAGGTTTATAAACAAGTAGCATAAGTTTCTGATAAATGTATACCCCAGGTCTTAACATGTTGATACAATATCAGAATATTTGAGTCTGAAATGTTCAGGGAGAGATTCTTTCTTCACGAATATAACAATGCAAATCTTCGCTATCATTCCATAGTTATACTGATTCAGAACATTATTACTATGATATCTCAAATGTAACTTCATAAACTAAACGTTGGAGGTAAAGATACTTATTATTTGTTTTACTTCATTTTTAGGTACACATACAGTGTGACATACTTAAGATGAAGACGCCCCTGTATTATTTTAGTCATTTTTGAAGGCAGATATTTGATTTTTCGTTACAGGCATGGACTTTTCTGGGCCTTACTTTTCGCAATACTCAGCCTGAGTGACAGCCTGAAACCCAGCCTACTGCGTTCCTGTAAAAAGGGCAAATTCTCGATACTGAGACAATTCGATTTTCAATTATCGGAAATCATCGACTTTATGTTGATGATAGACACTAACTTGCACTGACGAGTGGCCAAAGAGCCTGAAACCGGTCCGCAAGTGTGATCCAATAACTGAAAATATATTGCGACACTTCTATCGCCAACAGCATATGCAGGAATAACTTTAGTGAAGAATCCTGCACTGACACCTGCTGGATATAATCCAACGCCCTTCGAGGTATTAGTCAGGGGAGTTGTTGTTTTCTAATAGGTGTTAGTCCATTAACCTACAGTGTAGGTAAGTTAAGACCGGCCTGAACGAATTGTTTTTTCAGAAAATTCGATTGACAGCCAGTCTCCAAGTATGCCCACTCATTTACGTGATTATGTGATTCTTCACTGAAGTTATTCCTGCATATGCTGTTGGCGATACAACTGCCGAAATCGATTTTCAATTATTGGAACACACTTGCAGACCGGTTTCGGGCTCTTTTGACACTCGTTAGTGCAAGTTAGTGTCTATCATCAACCTGGAGTCGATGATTTCCGGTAATTAAAAATCGAATTCATTCAGAGTATCATTCCTCGAACAAGGCTGAAGCGAACGACAACCAACATGTTTGGCATCGCTCCATCTGCCCGTGAACGAGGTTACCAACCGCATATCCGAATTTGCACAATTCCTCGTATAAGAAAGAAAACTTCACATAAATGACTGGCTGTGAATCAAATTATCTACAAACCTATTTGTTTATTTCGGTATCTCCAACACGAAGCAAAATATCGAAAATTTGGCCTTTTTAGCAGAAATACAGTAGTCTGCGTTTGAGTCTGTCACTTGGGATGAGTATTAAAAAAAGTTAGGCCCATAAAGGTCCCCGCCTGTACTAGAAATCAAATATCTGCTTTGGAAAATTACAAAATTACAGGGGCGTCTTTATCTTAAGTGTGTCACAGTATTATAATATATTCATGTGACATTTTTTCAACGAACTCTTTGATGAAATTCCATCATTCAATTTCTTGACAACGCGAAGCAATGAGTCACACTCTTATGAAAGGAGTTGCAATTATCGGTAATATTTTCAAATTCAGAACGAATGTCAACTGTTGAAGTATGAAAAATCATCACCCTAGAAGCCTTGAGACAAAACAAATTATTGCCTCATTTTTTTATATCATTCAATATTTCCAATGTAGTTTGGAAGAATCTCACATCCTTAGGGGAGACCGGGTATATTTGTCTCACGGGTTGGTTGTTACAGCGGCCATATTGGAAAATTGAATGAACGGAAAAGTTTACCGAACAAAATCGAAGGATCGCGAGAGCAATATTTTCATACTAACGTAATTTCAGTTCATTCTCATACTGTGTGAGGGAGATACGTAGGTACATTTGTTTTTTAGGACGGCAAAAGTATTTTTTTTGCATTTGTGTCGAGCCTCATGAGTATACTAGTGTGGTTCATGATATCACTGTCCGTTTTTATGAATGAATATCGGTTCAGAAGTGTTTCACAGGGTTTTATTTTGAAATGTATTTGGGGCTGGTTATCTCAACTTGACGAGGACTGGTAGTCACATGTGACAACCAACACCATATACAATGCGAGGCTCTAACATGGAACAAATTCACTAAATCAAAGGTGTTGTTTCTTTCGGAAATATGCTCGGACACGTCAATTAGTATTTCAAATTGCCCTTATTTTAATGCAAAGAAAACTATACAGTGTCTCAAATATGAGATATGACGTCATCGATATTTTTTTAAATGAAAACATTGTTTTTTTAATGACTTTCATTAAAGGGTTGCACATGCCTGCCAAATTTCAATTTTTTACTCCTTGTCCTTTAAAAGATATTTAACAAACATTATCCAATTCAAATAATGAATTCAATTCAATAGCCTTTCTTTAACGAGTGTTCAAAATGTTGTCCATTTACTAACTGACAATACCCTAAACGTAACTGATTACTTCGCCGGAAATTAGCCTACCTACACTCCTGTCTTAATCGTTCTTTTAAATCCTTAATATTTGCCAGTTTGCTCTTAAAAACTTTGCTCTTCAAGTAACCCTATGAGAAAAAGTCCAAAGGTGTTAAATCCGGAGACCTAGGTGTTCATTCATAGGGTCCTCTTCTGCCAATCCATCTGCCTGGAAATACATCATTCAGATACTCACGGACAGGTCCTGCAAAATGAGGAGGCGCGCCGTCCTGTTGAAACCAGATGTTTCTATTCGGGACGTCAGCTTCTATAGGACAAGGGAACAAAATAGCCAAATTCGGAACTAGGTCTTCCTGCAAGAATTCTAAATATCTTGCTCCAGTAAGATTTTCTTGGAAGAAAATCGGTCCTATAACTCGATCACCAACAATCCCTGCCCAAACATCGACTTTTCTGGATGTTGAGTGTGGCCTTCGCTTATCCAGTGTGGGTTTCTGTCTGCCCAATAACGACAATTTTGACGATTCACCACACCATTCACGTTGATTCGTCAGAAAATAGAACGTTTTCTTTTTGTACAACATTCCTGTCTAGTAGATCCATCATTTGTTCGCAAAACTGGAGTTTTCTATCTGGTTCATCTTCGGTGAGTTCCTGGAGGATTGTTATTTTATATGGATGAAATTTTTCAGCTTTAAGAACTCGTGCCACTGAAGACTGGCTAATTTCGAGTTCCCTAGCTATCTGCCTAGTGAGGACATGGGAATTTTCTTCGACAGAGAGAAGAATATATATTTTAACCTCTTCACTGAGCGCACTGCGACGATGATTATTTGTTTTTCTTAAATGCCCATTTTCCCGGAACTGTTTTTCGATTTTGCTTACGGTACTTCGCGATATGGGTGGTGAATCAGGATACTTCTCTCTGAATAAATGGGTAACTTCATTTTGTGTTCTTGTCCTATCCCGTAGCCAATCATCATTAGAATTTCAATCTTCTGTGATTCAGTTAAGTACGGTATTTTACTAATGGCGAACAACAAACTGTGAAACGACTAATAGTTTTTGTGCACAAATATGATTGGAATGCGATTGCTACATGCAATTTTTAATTGCGTATATTTTTCTACTTTCAATGAAAATATGTGACTACTTGCCCCAGATACTGTGACAACCATTCCTGGCCCGGGATTAAAAGTCACATTCTTTCTTTCTTTTCCATAAGAATTGGTATATTTTTTTCAAATGAGTATAAACACACTTTCTATTGATTAATTCATTGATAATTCATAAAAATGGACACTAAAAATGGACACCAAAAATGCAAAAGACTAAAAATGTGACTTCCAACCCCGGTCTCCCCTATGCTGGTTAACCTCTGCTGAATATTATATTATCAAGTTAATTTTTGTATACTCACGTGATATTTTAATGGACAACAGATATTGTCTCATCATGGAACTATTTTCTAAGTGTACCTGTATGACTTTACTGATGTTGAACGTATGTTAAACTGTACGACTTACTGTGATTTTCCATGTAGATGTAAGTAGATGTATAAATATTTCAAGTACCTATCATGAACGAAGAAATCAATTTATTCTTGAGTATACAATGGAACAATGTTTTTACCAGTGATCCTAAATTATCGATATCGCTGAAGTTTTGAAAATTTTAAAGCATTTATAGCTCTGTTGATACTCTGCTGTTGATATTCATATTTATGATTTAGGATCACTAGGAATTTTTACTGGATGAATTATATACGTTAAAGCAAATTACTTATTTCAACCACCTGGAATATTAAAATATACCTGTAGATAATAACTCATATTCTAAATTAGAAAAGCAATTATCTTTCCCTTTAGCAATATGTAAAATCTATCCCTCAACCAGTTATTCTTAGAAGCATAACATTTTTTTATATACGGGGCACTCCTTATAGATGTTGCAAAAATAGTATATTATATAGTTTTTGAATCATCTGCTTGATATCATCAACAATAGAGCTGTCACTATCTGGTATTTGAAAGATTTGGGAGAGATTAGGAAAGAGATAGTGACAGATTCATCAGGGAACGTATTTTATATTCAAATCATCTGAAGAAACAATTCGTTCAGGCCAGTCTCAACTCCCTACACTATAGGTTAAGGGACTGACGCCTATCAGAAAATAACTACTCCCCTGGCTAATACCACGAAGGGCGTTGGATTATATCCGACAGGTTTCAGTGCAGGATTTTTAACTGAAGTGATTCCTATTATTTCCAATAGTTCCAATCATTTCAGTGAAGAATCCTGCACTGACACCTGTCGAATATAATCCGACGCCCTTCGTGGTATTAGCCAGGGGAGTAATAGTTTTCTGATAGGTGTCAGTCCATTAATTTACAGTGTGTGGAGTTGAGACTGGGCTGACCGAATTGTTCCTTTAGATGTTTTGATTAAAGTATGCCCACTAACTATATGTGAAAAATATTTTATATTGATTGGAACGTTTCTATATTTACAACAACTTGAAGATTGTCCGGTTGCTCTTTTATTGCTTGTAGGATTCCCACCGTCATTTTTAATCGTTGATGACTGCAGGGTCAATACTGAAATGAATAGTTAACAGATTTTGAGTATTCCTTTATGGTATGTCTCAAATTTCATAGCGCAACCTTTGCAGATCATAAACTGTCTATGAGTTCTGCCATTAAATCAAACTCACAAATATCAATCGAATACTCAAAACTGCCAACGAAGTAGTTAGACGTGAGACAATTCGTTCCCAATGGTGGCAGACTTTTTCAGAAAACCAGTTTGAAATCTTTAAACATTCCACATTTCACACATCCTAAATTGAATAAATGTCACCTCATCATTATTCCAAACATTTTGTGAACTCATCTAGAACGTCAATTTCATCTTCACAAGTGAGTAACACTATAATTTCTGTTGAAGGTTTTTTCAAAGGAACCATTTGTTTCCCACCCTACTTTACTTTGTATAAGAAACACTTCTGAATTGATTTTTAAATGGGATTATCAAAGGAATCAAAAACTACCGAAATAATAGAATCCAAAAATTCTAGCGAAGGCAGGAAGTTCTTGATAATGAAATTTGGGACACACTGTACCTATATATCT